CAAATAAAAGTATACAAATATAAATATTATATTATAAATAGTTTAATAAATAATGAAATTGTTTTCTAATATTTTCATATTTTGTATTAATAAAAATTATCATTCTTTATTTTTATTGATATAATGAAATGAAATTCTTTGCAGATGGTCTTGCCAAAGCATGATAATGTAAAGGATTATTGTCTGCATGTGGCTACCTATCTTCTACAGTTGGAAGCGTCTAGTTTATACGTATCATCCTTTACTGATTACGAAATAACGCAAATGAATGAAATAGTAAGTGAATTTAAATATAACTAAAATATAATAAATATAAATAAGTGCTCAATTTTTCGAATTTATAAATTATTTGTGTTTTTCTATTGTCATTTTTTAACTATTGTTTTATTCAATAGATAAAAAAGACATTCAACAACTTGAAGCAAACGTTATCAGACAAAATGCAAGAAGCACAATGGGCAAAAGAGGAAGGACGAAAAGAATTGCTAAACAAGATCAATAGTCTAAAACTCGCATTACCTGTTGTTTCCTATTTCAAGAACAGAAACTCGTTATATAATGAATATAACGTATCAGAGGTAAAAAAATATATATGTATCATACATTAATTCTTCTTCATTATTACTTTATTAAAATAATTATTGATATTATTAAAAACAGAACATATCTAAAAAATCTATAATAAAAACAAATATCATTATATGAATATATAAAACATTTTTTAAACATTTTAACAACAGATTTATATAACGTATTTTTTTATTTTGAATGCTAAATTGGTTTTTTATGTTGGCGTTTAATTAAAAATCTTTCTGTATATCTCAATTAGTTTTAATTATGTTCTAATTGACAATCAACTTTTAGGTAATTCTAAACGATAATTACTTTGACAATTCGATGATACTACTAAAAAGATACAGAGTTCTAATGTACACCGAATTAAGAAGAGAAGTTGGTGGTCCAAAACAAATGTAAATAAAATACAAATAATTAATTCACTATCAATAAATTAATTCAATTTAAATAAATTCATAAAATCCTAGATGTTCAACTTTGTAAATTTATATTTCTTTCAGATTTTTTTAGATTATTTTATTTATGTATAAACTCGTATATGTCTCTAGTTCAAAATTTTTATATTATTTAATTTTGAAAGCTTTCATTTTCAATTTCTTAATTTTTCGATTTGGAAATTTGGATCTCTGGAATTCTAAGTTTTTATAATTTGTAAATTACGTTATAGTTGGACATATTATGCTACGCCATTTCAATCAAAAGCCCAAGTGATTTACGCTCTAAATCTCATCGTGATTCCTTACGGTATTATCGATTGGTCTTTAATGAGCAACTTAATGAACGGCGATGAATTATCCTATTTTCTGCTAGCAACCCTTGGGAATTTAATAGCTCATCAGATCGCCCATCATTTCGACACAAATGGTAAATGATTGTAATAATGTAATTATATAAATACGTAAAAATCTTATAAGTCATTAATAACTGTTAATATTCTTCATAAATTTTTTTTATAGTATTCTTAGACCTCATGTATGGTTTATGTACAATTTTTAAAAGTAGATTATTGCACGTAATGTTGATTTTAATTGACTAAATTTATACAATATATAAATCATAAGGACCATTTTTTCTATTTTTAATTCTTTGATTACCTGAATTTTTATAATCATTTTCTTTATAACAGGTATACACTATTGGAATCAAATCAGGAATGCTCAAGATTCTTTGATGTTTGAAAACGAGTTTACAAATACTCATTTCGATGATTATATCAACTGTCAAAAGGAGAATCTGTACCAAGAACCTATAAACATGACGTTACCCTTCACAGATCAAATCGTGTCCTTTAGAGTAAGTTGAATTGTTCAATCCTTAATACTCATGACTGGGTGCATTTCTTTTCTTTGAAATACTAAGAACACCAAATAATTAGTTATAATATCTATACACAATTTCTTTTTAATACACAACTTTATAAATATTTTTTAACATGTTAAAAATGTGTATAAGAATCACTTAAAAATTTTTGTTACTTATAAAAGTGATGAAAATTAATCTGAGAAATGAACGGCCCTTCGTGTATAGTAAAAGATTGAAAAATCATTGTAGAATGTTAAACTAAAGATGAATTCTATAATGCAATTTTCCTGATTGTACTCTAAAATCTTTAAAGTAGAATCTCACTCTAAAATTGAGCCAGTCTTCTTTTAAAGAGTGACTCGATTTTCAATCTCACTTCTTCAAAGTGAGATTCACTGTTCGAGAGAATAAAAGTTCGAGAGAATAAAATACAATAAATAACAAAAGGGATTGGAGAAGGGATGTTCGAAACACTTTATGTAGTAAAATTTAACACAATAAATGTAATAATTTTTTTTGCGTAATGCTTGATTTATTGAATCGTTCGCAGACGCAAAATGTCGACATTTGTAAATATTCTAGATTCCGCAGTTGACCTTGAACGAGCGGTTGTCTGAAATTATAGGACTCAGACTAGCCTATGATACTTTGGCTCTTACGATGTCGAATGCGAAGAGACTACCATGGATACAACTCCGCATCGACCAATTATTCTATCTCGCCTACGCTCAGGTACTGTTCTCACAGTTCGTTTTACATTAACAGCAGTTTTATGGAGGTCCCGTGATATTCTTGAGAATCCTGGTCCTCGAATCTTCAGAACTTTTGAGTGGCAATTCAATAAAATCCAAAGATTTGCGAGGATCACGGTTGATTCTGTTCCCTCGAAACTTTCACCGTCATCGAGTTCCAGATAATTAACACTTATTAATGTTTTTGTATCTTTATCGTTGCAGATGTATTGCACGAAGACATCACTCACATCGTCGTATATCTCTCTGCACGAGAGCGAAAATCTGCCTAGCCGAATCCGTGTGTTCGTCTCCGCATCAAACGACAAATTCCTTTCCAAGGCATGGAATTGCCCACTCGGCTCGCAGATTGCACCTATCGACGTTTGCAACGTGTTCCCATACATAGAGATTAAAGAGACCTCGATGATTCCGGAGTGAGAATCGTTCGCGGAAAAGAATGGCACCCGCGGACATTATGCTATAGCAAATGAGTCAATTGGTATTCGATTAGTCGAGAAACGTCTAATCTAATCGATGGAATACAGAAACAAAACTCGGATTCATCCACCCTGCGAGATTCGTGTATGAACATTTTTAAGATTTGATTATTAAATCATGAAATCGAATTAGAAGCATCAGTTTCATGCAGTTGATGCGTAAACCTATTTTTATAATTTTAAAATCTAAAAAAGATTGGAGAACATGTGTTTTGCTTCTGTATCCTTTAATACATAAAAGAGAGAGATTCTCATTTACGTAATAAAACGTGTGTCTTAAGTTTAAAAGCAATGTTTCGATGAATACCTTGCCGCAAGCGCATCGTTTGCGAGGTAACGTTATAGTTATTAACGTTGGAGAGAAAAAAGTAAGCAACGTAATCGCCGAATGAATATGAATCAATAAACAATTTTACGCGATATTCACACTGAATTTGATCGAACGCTAAATTGGAGCGTCCACGGATCAATAATAACAATAATATTCTTCATTCATTCTGAGGAACAAAAGTAACACTTTGGAGACCATTCATATCACGTCACAAATAATCGGACGCATTAATCATTCATTCTACTCTTGCGCGCGATTGTCCTATTCGACTAGAAAGTGTAATTAGTGTCCTCAGTTCACCATCAAGTGGTTCTTTTCTCTCTTTCTTTCACAATTTTTTCTTATCGAATTCTTCCACGGATTTCGTACGACGAACCATATTCCCTGAAATAAACACATTTGTAAATAACATAAAAATTACTGCTCCAATGTCGATTGAGTTGTGGCAGTTGATTAATTCTTTTTAAAAATTTCAATTTGAGAAGTATAATAGATATAGAAAAAAAAGAATTATATAAAAATATTTAAAAAAAAATATAATTAAAAACATAGAATTACTTAATGAAAACTGATTTCTCTAATCTGAATAATAACAATTTTTTTAATACTTTATTATATTTAATATATTTTAAAATTTAAAGAAAAGATCCAAGAATTTAATAAGTTTTAAAAATTTAAAGTTTTAAAAATTTTAGTTACAAAAATTACAATATTTTATGACTCAAAGTCATTTTTTAAATGCAAGAATCTGAGAATCTCAGGATATATAATATTCAAAGATTTGAAATTCTAAAAGTCAAATTTAAAAGCATTCAGTCTTCATAAAAAATAATACTGATTTATCCAAATTAATCATATTTTCATTATTTTAAGTTGTCAATAAAAATAAAATATTCGAGTTAGGATATTATATGAACAAATCACGAACAAATTTCGGGATTGATAGTAACAGTGGCCTAATTTCCACTGAGGGTTTAATTCGGATTAAAATGTAAGAACCAACTCGAGCATTTCCCTGTCGTTCGACTGTAATAGAGGAATACTCGTATGTATTGTAATTGGTTGATTCTTACATTCTGATTCGGATTAAATCGATGGAAACTAGGCCTGTGACAAGAATGGCAATAACAATGAATCAAGTGTCGCAAACTCAGATTGTTGCAAACTATCAAACGATTACACATCGTATGATGTAATCAACACATACCGCTTACATCCGTGTCAAACTTGCTTAGATGGGAGACTGACCGTCTTATAGTGACTTTCTTTCCCGTCTGCAGTGATCAGCACCATGCATTTAAAAGGAGCAACAAGAGTTAGTTATCAAAATTAATTAGCTATTGACGAACAATATTTATTTAAGTGCACAAAATTGCTGTGTAAGTTTGCTCCAAAAAAAGGATCTTGTATTAATTATATAGAAAATTATTGCTATTATCCCGTGAAGTTAGTTTTTACATATAATATAATTTACAATATGATGAACAACAGATGTCTACACAACACAAGACTTAATAATGAACAGTTTTAAACTATGGTACATCAAAAGTAAAATTTCTACTCATGAAGCATCTTTGATATCATAGCTAAAAAAGAGATCTTATATTCATATTACAACTACATTAAATGTAAAAATTAAGTCATTCCATTACAATCCAATTTTCCATATAATTAATACAAAAGTCTTTATACACGATATTTCCGTTCAAAATTATTATGCATTCATTATTCTTTTTCTCTGAGAATAAAAATACTGTAGCAATAGTTTTCTTAAATCCTATTTCTGGAAGTTTACAGAGACATTAAAATCTGAATGTGTTGATATCTACCTCAAAGTACTGATGCCACAAAACACAGCCATAAACGCAGAGAACGGAGACTAGAGATTGGCAAAGCAGCCAAAGGAGGATATTAAGGGCTTGAGTGCGTTCAAACAGAGCTGCACCATGGCGTATACATAGTAAAGCTTCTGTCACCATAATTGCTCCATAGACCCAACACTGAGTTCCCACTCGACTACATGTCGGGTCAGTTACGTACATATAATACTGCCTGCAATTACAACGCAACAAATATTATCTCAACCGCACGCTCAACCGCATATTCAAAATTTTTTTAATTTATTAGATCAATTTGTTAATACGTACAATAATATTAGATTAGAAAATTTAAAGTACCAATTACACCTATTTTTATATTATTACAATTTAATTCACAAAATTATATATAATACTTAATAAGATTACATCTTGAAATATTACAATTCTCCAAATATTCAAATTTCCATATTCATGTATATATAATACAAATATAAAATTTTAAAGTAGTCAAATTTTAAAATTTGAAAAACTAATCTTATTTATATTGTCAAAATTTGTGCTCTTTCCGCTTACCTAACGGATGGTGCGACTATAACGCCGACCAATACTAATCTGGCAACAACAAATGGATGAGATGGAGGAAACTCATAGACGTGTTTCAAGAAGAACGTATTCAGCTCGGAAACTTGCCAGAATATCACTAGCTGGCATAAAGCAACCAGTCGCATATGTGTGCAAGTTGGATCCAGCCATCTAACACTTGTCCAACTGCCAGGAGTAAACTGCAACATTGCTCTTTTCAGTTTCCCAGTGGTGCTCTCAATGTCACGAATACTGACCCACCTATTTAAGAAAGTATTTAAGTTAAAAGATTCAGTACTATTCAATACTTTTTATTGAGAAAAAAAGAAAAAACTTCTTTCTCTATGAAATAAAGATAAAATTTTTCTACAAAAAAAGAATTCTGAATAGAAAGAATATACTTTGTTCAGCAAAATAAATTCTTTATCATAATAAATGATGAAAATGTGAAAGACATGGATCTCAAAATTTAAACTAAATTCTTACTTGTATTCCCTCATCTCCAATATGGAGCAAATTTTCAAGCCGACCCAGATACCCAATCCATTGCACACTAAAACGTCGAGAATCAAGGCGTCCCACCAGCACTCGATAAAGTTTGGCAATAAATGAGCAAAGGCAATCTCTGTCACCTCCCACATGACGCTGATGGCCCAAAGGATACCAAGATGACGAATTAAGATGGCCTTGAAGGCCCAGCCAAGAAAATGTGCTAACGCAAATACGTCCAGGTGATTCCAGATCCTTTCTACTGTGACATCCGAACAATTGACACCGTACTCCTTGTCCATATCGATGTGGAAGGAAGCTAAACCTGGATCTACCCATACCAGGATTCTTCTGACTGTCTCATAGTTTTGGAACAACAAGAACAGCAGACCCATCAAATAGAGTACACTACAGCCGAACACTATCCGCCATACCACAGGATGAGGCCTAGTGAATGGACCGTTGGGGAATGTCAGGACAGATATGATAAGGAAGAAGAAAATGACGCACAATATACCCGCCCACATGTTGTCTTCCACATTTGTGGTATTCCTGAAAGAAATGTTTTTAGATGTAACAATATTCTGTATTCCAATGATACAACAAAATTTTGTGTGACCTTTGAGTTCCATTTATATAAATTTTCTTGCTAACTGAATTATAAACAGTGACTATGATCGGAGTAATCCAAGTTCTAAAATTTATTTGCATTTATCAGTCATAATAAACACATAACAACTGATACATATTTTTCTATATCGGCTATATAAAATATTATAATTAATAATACAAGCTAAATTAAACTCAATTTAAAAAAAATTTCTAATAACAATCATAACTGCTGTCTAAACAAGAACATAAAAATATTTAGCAGAAATATAGTACAAAAAATACAAGTTACATAATACACAATACCGTTAAGCTAAAATAGAAGAATAATCATGAATGGCTTATAATAGATAAGCCAAGGACAAGTTCAAATACTGTAATATATAGAATTACTTGCACACGTATCTCTATAGAAAAAATTATAATGAAACTTTTATCGGCATTTGCACATAAGAAATTGCACATAAAAAATTAAAATTCTCATGTATATGAGTTGCATTATTCAAGCACAATATTCAGTAATTGTCAAGGTATTTTAAATGATTATCTTATCAAAATTAGATCGATTTTCACATACCGATATAAATCTAATTAACATTCAAACATGAAATTTCTTCAGCTTGCATCATGTGGTTTTTAAATCGAAATACGCTTTATATCGTCAAAGAAAACAAGAGGAAAAAGTTAAAAGAAATCAAGGAGATATAATCCGCAAGAATTTCAAAGGATCAAAGGGATCAAAATGAGGCCTTGTCTACCTGGTGAACGCAGAGTATATAACGGCACCAATAGAGATGAGTAACAGGGTGATAGTGTGCGGTTTATAGAAGAATTCGAGGGAGATGTCGTCGACCGGCCTCTCATTGATGCTTGGAAAGCTGTCGGTCCCGGTGCGGAGTCTGTGTTCCTCGGCATGATCGGCGACGGTGTTGGCGACGGTATTAGCGACAGTGGTCGCTTTGAAATCATCCTCTTGCATTGCTGTCGTCATCCTTCCACTATACTCTCTGCCTCAGTCTCGTTCGACCACCATCGGCAAATAAACACGTGTAATTTTCGCGTCGTACCCGTCTTATACGTAAACGCGAACACGCCTGCGATCCACGATCGAGTTGGATTGACTCGCGTGAACTTAGATGCGCGCGCGGCACATCACACTCACGCGGCGGCAATCGCGCGCAACTTCACGCCGGTGGGCTCGCGCGATTGGCGGCGAACGAGGCGACATAGTGCGGCGACAATGGTGACATACGGAGACGAGAGTGCGACCGTGAAACTCGCGCATTACAGTGGGGGTGGGAAACGGCAGAAAGAAGCTTAAACTCAATAGGATGATTAGATATATCATTCTTCACTTTTATACCTCCCGATTGTTGTCACATTAGCTTGCATTAGCTATGTCAATTAAGCAACAACCCATTGACCGATAGAAGAGATATTTTATTGCGTTACAATTGAAATAAGTATAACGATTGAAAAATTACTTAATTATAACGTCGTTACTTTTTACAATAATTATAACGTCGTTACTTTTTACAATAATGAATATAATGACTTGATATAATGATTTTATATTTTTTTAGAAACGATAATGCAGGAGTGGAAAATCACTTTTGAAAAAAATAATTCATAATTACTATATGCATTATTTATTTTAAAAAGTAACAGCTTTTTTGTGTGTTTTTGATAAAAGAATTCTTTTTTGTGAATTTCTTTTTTGTCTAAGATGATATGAAGATAATAGATATTGTAATAATTTAGATAAAGATAAGATGTAGCGATTTCTTCAAAATGATTATTTAAAACAAGCTGTTATTTTTTCTAATAAATAATGCATATTGTAACAAATCTTTATTCAAATTATTGTTACCGATATGAAAAAATTTAAAGTCTAAATCCTTATTATAAAAAAGAGGCACACAAAAAAATTTACACAGTAAAACGTAAGCAATAGAAAATCCAACATATTGATTTATTTATTCACTTATAGAAAAATGTGATCAAAAATGTAATCAAAATATATTCGAATTCGTCCTAAATTTCTCTGAAAATTGTCGAAATATATAAATTCGAACAGTTACAGATAAAATGAAATACTTTCTGTCAAATTTCGGCAATACTGTCTTTGTCAAAATTTGTTATTTTTTTATATTTTTCGGACAAACTATGACAAATTTTTTCCATCATGGAATTGCTTATATGTTTTATTGCAGCTTAAGTTTTTCTGACATGACCCTGATAATAATATGATAATGGCATATTACAAATAAAGCGTTATTTTCCTATAGTTAAAGTATATACGTACGTATAGTATAACACGCGAGGTTATTAATGTCTTCCTTATAAAAAAATTTTTCATGCATGAATATATATAAATATGTGTAAACATACATAAATATTCATATACATATATAATCATATGTGAAATATGTCCACACTTGTTCATACATCTCTTTTTTTTGTAAAATTACTTTTTAGTGTAATAGAAATAATTATAATATTATGAAAAACATTAAAAATAATTAAAAGAATAATTTTCACACTATTTGTTTTAGAAAAAATCAAGTTTGAAGAAATATAAAGAAATTACTTATGTATAATTATATATAAAATTATGCATAATTGCGAGCAATTTTTTTTACATCTTTTCAAACTTGTTTTTTTTTCTGAAATGAACAATGTGAGAATTATCTCTTTAATTATTTTTTATGTTTTCACATGTTTGCTATTATTATTTCTATTTTACATTAAAAACTAATTTTATGAAAGAAAAAAAGATGTATAAACATGTATGAACATATTTTACATAATATGATTATATATGTTTATAAATATTTATACATATTTATGCATGAAAAATTTTTTTGTTGAATTATTATGTACATATTCTGTGTATAATAATATGTGCAGAATAAGTGCATATATATCAGAAGATATTTTTTATATATACTCCGATAAGCGTTTAAATTCAAATTAAGGCATTAAAAAAATTACCGTGATAAATTATATTATCACATAATATGTATTATATGTATATGGTATAGTTAATAAATATATTAATTATACGCGCGTAATAAATTGAAGTATAATTAATATCCCAAGCAGACGTTTAAAATCTACATTTAAAAAACGTTAATTGAAACATTTTTACGTTATATAAAAATGTTAAATTATTTTTAACGTTATTATTAAATATACGTTATTAACTCGTAATAGGAAAATAGTTTTTATGATAGTAAAAAAACATACAAATCTTGGGTCTATATAATAGGTTTTTGTTATTTTAATTTTAAAATTTTCAATCATTTATGAAATTGCATACTTGAACTTAACATATAGTATGATAATATAGTATGATAATTAGTCTACATAAATAAAAAATAAGATTATAAAATTATTCCAAATAATTATTTATTATTTAAAAATTAAGAAAAAGTTTTAAGGTCACCAGGATCTATATGTTTCAATTTTTCAAGATTGAATGATATACTTTTTTAACATTTATTAAATAGTTTAATAAACATATTAAATTTTAAACATTTATTTTACAGTTTATATCTGTTAAACGTACTTTGAAAATATATGTATTGCTTGGGATTGATATATATATATACATATATATATATATAATTTATAACGCAAAATAATAAGAAGCATAAAGATTTTTGTGCATGTAAATTTATAAATGAATAGACATATAACCGTCTTGATCAGTGAGTCAGCTTAAGACACCATTATCTCTTGCAGAGATCAAACTGAACATTTTATTGGTCGTGACGTTCGTATCCTGGACTCGTTACTATGTTTTTTATATGCAACCACAGGTATGTGGTATCATATATGTATATATGTGTATTATATGTAGGTGTCAATTATAGACATATGTTGTCAATATGTGCGATTTTTGGAAGCTTCTCATCATATCGAATTCTTATATATTGATCTGTTTTTTATAGTTAAACTAACTGCATTTTCAACTTTTTCTTCTCTTCAACGTTTAATTGTACTATTGTCTTTTTTATTTTAAATATGAAATATTACGCAGCAAAAAATGAGAGGTTATAATTTGTATTAAACCAAAAATACGAAAGTTGTTTTACTTAGTTCAATCGCTTCACAATATATGAACGTAAAATTTCGTACTTTAATGTAATCCAACATTCAGCTATAAAAAATTCAAATCTTATAAAAAAAAAAATAACTCATTTGCATGTTTCCAATAATAATAAATTCTATTCGATTTCTAATCAATCTACCATCATATTCTGCACTACATTCTATTATAATTCTATTATAATTCTAGTCTATTGACTCGATCTTATCATTATTTCTTTATAAGAATAGTTTATTTATAATTTAAAAAAGGACTAATTGAATACTCGTTTTATTTTAAGGGCAATAATCTAATCTTACAAAATTAAAAAAACGCAATAAATCTTATCTCATACATGCAGAAATCCAGATAGCGGATCTAAGTGCGCAATAACAAAGACTACGTATGAAAACAAGGATAAGTCGCGCAGCCTTGTATACAAAAATTGGTCGAAGACCACGGAAGGAGTAAATTGTAGCAAATCGCGCCACTTTTGTCGTAGGCTCAGCCGGAGTGAAAAGACGACAGTGTCGGATTCGGATTCCTGGCGAAACCAGTCGCGAACGTTCCGCCCATATTTGGGACACACTTTTTTTACGCGGCAAAATACGTCGCGACTGCGCAACGGTCGCGACGTCCCACACACTCCTTGAAGAATGCAGTCATATGATTCATCCGGAATGATTGTTTTTTTTTAAGACGGTTCTAACGGTTTACCATCCGAATATAATGCGCGATCCATTGATGCACACCGGCGACTCTTTCCAATGTAAAAAAAAAATGAAATTTGCATAGTATATATATATATATGATATATTTAAATATTATTTAAATCGATAACAAATTATGCATAAAATCGTCCATCATAAGCCGAGCAATTTCATTTTTATTGAAATTTTCGGGAAAGACGTTGGAAGAATTAATCTCCCGGGAAAAACGTTTATATATAATTACATATAATTAAATATGTAAAATTATATATAATTACATATATAGGATTTTTCCGGGGTAATAAATTCGTAAATCAAAGACTATAAATAAGAACAAAGTTCCAGAATATTATAAAGTCAATAAAAAGATGTGTAAAATATACAATAAATCTCAAAATTATTATTATTATTGTCATTTAATTGACACTCGTTACAATGATAAATTTTAATCGATATTTAAATTCAGGTGCGGCATTTAAAAAATTAACGATAAATGTATCAGTAGCACTTTTCGCAATGTAGTTATATTATAAAACAAAGAGGCTTTTTGAAGAATAAAAAAGAAGATACAAAAAATGAGACAAATGGACCAACATGTGATGCGGGAGCAGCCGTCGAGTTAATCGAGAACAGTTTGGCGAATGCATACGGCGGTATAGTGCCAACAACGTTCAACAGTTCAAACGGGCCAATCAGCGCGAGGTGGCGCCGCCGGCGAGCCAATAAGATGGTTGCGCCGGCAACGACTCGTTCGACCTCGGCAACTTTCGGCCGCCTTCGGTGACTCGAATACCGCACAAAGACGCCGCGCGATAAAAGCAGCGTACGAAGCGACCGGTTTGGTATAGATACACAGCGACTCGGTTCGTTCTGTCCCGTCGCGTCGGCGTCATATTTGGTGCATCTGGTTTTATTCGCATGCGAACGAGTTTACGTTCGTGATTCGTGAATCGACAGGCCCGTCATCGATTCGGACTCGAAGAGTCGAGAGAGCTGCAGCGTTTCTTATTCTGTGAGAGAAGGATAAAGAGAAGCAAGCAGGTAAATGTTTTCCCTTCGCCCTTTTTCCGTCGCAAACAAAGAGACGCTTCCGACCTTCACGCCACGATTTATTGAAGCGACGCAACGCGTCAGCACGTCTTTCTGAAGAGTTGATCTGTGAGCATAATTAGAATATTATTTCTCGTCTATCGCTTTTCATATTTGAGATGGTAAGGTTTTGTGATGCATTCCGTTATTGTTCCTTTTTGGATTATGTAAACAATAAACGACGGTTATTAATGGCTTTTAAGCGATGATGACAGGAAATCATGGCGGAACGTTTGTAAATAAAAAATGTTAGGCCTTTGTTTATTTTTATCGAGGTAGGAATTGGCATACCAGGCTGACGTAAAATTCATTGATTTGTTTTATAAGATATCTTTAATTTTTAATGTATAGACTTGTGTTTTACATATTGTGGTTATTTATTTAGTAAATTCGTTGTGGACAAAGGAATATATAGGATGTTTCAAACATCGTTTGCCTTTTCTCATTTAATCAATTCATTATTAGTTTAGTAACGATAAATTGACGGTATAATTGACTTAATCCTTCGTGATTTAACATTTTTTTTTCCACTGCTTTCCTGGTCCGTAACTGGGTGCTTATTATATTTTTCGAAGTGTTTTTTGGTGCTTTAAAAAATCTGAAAATATTCTGGTACACTTTCAACATTCAAGCATAATTTTACAATTATATGACTTGAAACGGTTTCACTTTTTTTGTACGTGTCCGAATTTGCAGTACAATCATTCAAAATTGATAATTCGGGATCTCCAAAGATCCAGTTGGAC